GGGGGGGGGGGGGGGGGGGGGGGGGGGCTGAGGAAACATACGGTTCTCGTCAGTCAAAATCGTCAACACTCAAAATACTAGTCACGGAAATCATACGAACGTCATGAAAAACTGCGAAGATCTGCGGTAAGACCACTTCCGGCCGTGTTATACCAAACGTACCAATAAATGATGTTCGAGATGCTGGGACATCCACCATACTGTTCAAACCAGACTAGGAATCGTTCGACCCCTCAGAGGAAGTATAATGGAAACGAAGACTTCAATCGACCAAAAAGTCAGTGGCACAAAGTTGGCTAGAGGGGAACCGAGAACTTCTTTTCGATGGAATCGAAAAACCTGTTATTTGTTAGGAAAAAAAGCATCGAAGTTCACGGGGTTTCCTGAAGAAATCAGATATGCTCCAGTTTCCTTTCCTTAAAAAAAGTGCATTTTTCTTGAATGCCCTTCTACATTTTATGCTCCCCTCGTAAAATTCACTTTGTGCTTGTGGAAATTGTAGCAATCGGAGCTTGAATTCTGAAACTTTCGTCCAAAAGGTAATCCGGTAGGCGGTTCACACGAGTTACAGTACAGCGTGCAATGACAAAACGATTCCTATTATTCCGTCATTATCATAACGATTTGTAAATTTGAAATGAAGAATGAGAGCATTTCTTACCATATGTCTTTCCTCATCGATATTTTCCTCAATCCAGTCGGTTGGAGCACTTCGGCAAATGGTAAACAGCATGAACAGAACCAGTGAAGTCCCCAGCATGTCACGTCTGAGATCTACCAATGAGAATTTTTAATCTCTAGGCAGGTTCCGTTTAGAAAATGAGGTAAAGAGTTTTTGACCCTCACGTTGCCTCATTAGTAGCAGTAGGAAACGTAAATTAAAATTCGAGTCGATTCATCGTGGAATAACTACTCCAAAAGAATGAGGCCAATGAGGCCATGGAAACCGAAGTCATTCTGTATCCGGTAATCGTTTCCAAATGAGATAATGGGACTTTTGCAATGCGTTCTGATTCTCTATACTTGGGAATTTTTATCTTTTATCATTTCCATGATACTGTTGCTCAGTTTAGTTTGTTTCTGTCAACATTTGCAGCCGACATTCTTTTGAATGAGAGCAATGAGAAAATATGCAGAGGTACCAAGGAAACTGTAATGATTTTCCCCACCTCCAAACATGTAGTTTTAAAGAGAACCCATTACTGTTTTTCGAATCCCTGATAGCTGCGTTGGGTAGGGCGAAAGCAAAACCATCAAAATACTCCAGGGTGATTAGGCGAAGGTATCTCAGTGGGGATGTCTGGAGAATGTGCTTGTGAAGCGACATACAGAAATTATTCAGATTTAATCTGCCGAAGGCGACTGCATCGCCTTCACTAACGCCACGTAATGGTGAATTAGGTGTTGCAGATTTTTCAGGAATGCTCTAAAAGTTTTGTGGAATCGCTATATAAGGCTCTTTTAACCCTATCATAACAGAGTTGAAAGTTTTTTCAAAGTTTATGGAAGCTCTATTAGTGGCGAACTAAATTGCATCGCGAAAATCCTACTTGTCAAGTTCTGTATCTCCAGACTACAGAGTACAGAACATCAAACACTGACTTTGGCCCCCAGCGAAAAGAGAGAAAATCCAGGAGTCATTTGGATAACGAAAAGATAAAGCATACACTCCAAAGCATTTCGTTTCAAGATTATAAGCAATATGAAAAAGAAGGAAGGTCTATGCTAAAGAACAAGTCTCCAGTTACAGAAGAGCTGCAGAGAAACAGTTTTTGGTCAGCAATTCCGCGAAACGGCAGCGTGACGCTCTGCAGGAACGATGAGAATGGAGTAAACTACGAGAATCAGTAGGTAGCTAGCCCTCGCTTCGGTCACACTTGGTGCACTACTTTTTCCCTTCAGCTACATTTTATAAGCGTAGAGTTACACAGGACCTTTTTTGATAAAAGTACATTAAGGGAAATGGGAACTGGTTGGAAAATTTGATGAGAATAGAATGAGCATGAAGGTTTTAGGAGTATGAACGGCGAATTAACACCTAGCAGCAGGTATTCTGATCGTAAAGGCCTTCTTGGTATCGGGTTGCGCCTAGCTCCATCCCCTTAACTCTTCGGTATTAGATCATTTCGTTTTGTTCTTCCCTGTATTTTGAGCGCGCATTGAAAATGCGATTGGAGTATGCAGTAAGAAGGTAGTGGGAATGATAAGCCCAGATATAACGAGATACCAACCCCATTACAGTGCTCTTCTTGAGGGAGAATCACTGAAAAGCAGAGGATATGACGGAAGAGTTCAAGTGGTACAGGTATGGGCGGAATCATTTCAATGATTAAGACAAACTGACATTTTGTACTGCTCTGGGTAGCGACCGTTCCGACTCACCAAACACGTTCCGTCTTTGCCGGAAATGTTGCGTGGAACTTCGAGTATACTTTGGCCATGTCTGCAGTAAAAGAAAAAAACTACCATGATTAACGAGGCAGTGAATCAAACTTATTTATGACCTTTCCTTGGCGAAAAGGCCCAGAAGTAAAACTACTAAGAACGCTCTCATGGTGTGGCACGTGCACAAATTTCGCTTTTATTGAGCAACAAACAATTTGTTGCAGAGTAAAGACTGCAAACGTTAATGGATCTGCTGCTCTCTGCCTAATGCCACACCTTCATCGAAATTTCTTAGAACTTTCTAAACCTAAACATTAGTGGTATGGGAATCAGAAGGCATGCGGATTGCGTCACAATCCTTCTAAGTGATGCCGCTGCCATCCTTTCTGTAGTACTGCTCCCCGTGTAAATACGGTATTCACAATATTCGTTTAATACACAGCTTTCATAAGAATGTTTTCCGAAATTTCCATCCAAGACTAACCTGTGGCCTCCAATTATGTATGTCACTAGCTCAAAACGATCGAGGCCTTTAATCCTTCCTCATGGCGTAGTTAGTGTAGTGGCAAGTGGCGCACCGTCACAACCACATGGTTCATCGACATCCGCCCAGATCGGCCTTCCAGGAGCAGTGACCAGTGCGTTGACTGACCACGGCAAGGCATTGTATAGACCGAATACGCATTCAATTCCCGGTGCGATTCTTAACGGATGGCAATTACGGGGCGCTTTCCTGAGACAGGATTGGTCAGCTCCCACAAACTTCATCCCATAACCTTTTCATTCCCTGTGCTCGATAGCTTCGAAACAAATATGGCTATAAGTGAATTTGAGATCATGCATGCCTCATTTTCCGATCGGTGCCGTTGATCGGATGTTCGCTCGGTGAATGATGACCCTGTTTCAAGGTAATCCCTTCTTCTGAACATTTATTTTTCTTATTACTACAAGTGAAACGGACCAATGGTGACTCAAGTTCATAAGAACGATGTTCCATATAGGGCAGTTAATACTTCACACATGAACCACGACACAAACCGTATGTGTTGGCTACTGACATTATTGCCAGCATCGCTTGACGAAGGTAATCAAAACTTACTATTGCTATGGTTGATCCAATCTTTTTAAGAAAAGACCCATCGGAAGTAATCGTATACCTGGAGACTAGGGGAGCTGTTTGGTTTGGACAGACGAGGTGCGCAGATAACTCAACAACTCATGACGGGGGCATCTCTTCCTAAATACGAAGTACGC